TAAAAATTCCCATTATAGGAAAATTAACAAATACAGGCAAGCACAGTGGGACATAATCTTACCCGCCAACCAGAGACAATGAGATTTACTCATTAGTTCTCAGCTGGGGTGGCGGGGGTACTTGTGCCTCCTCGGGGGGCACTTGGCAGTGTCTGGACACATTTTTGACTGTCACAACTGGCGGGGGTGTGCTACTGGCATCTAGTAGGTTAAGACCGAAGATGCTGCTAAGCATCCAGCAGTGATGAGGACAGCCCTCCCATGCCCAGGAATTATTATCTAGCCTGGAGTGTCAACAGTGCTGAAGCTGAGAAATCCTGGGTTAATTTAATACCATGCAACATATAAAGAATCCATTTATAGATCACATTTACATTAAAGACTGCTACATCTTGTCAGTATAATACAAGGTGGGGCAAAAGTAGGTTTACAATTGTTTGTATGGAAAATAATACACTAATTAATAAATACTAGTACGGTAAACTGTTGCGTGCTCAGCGCAGTAAACCTACTTTGTACCCAACCCTGTATATAGTCCAGTGTATAAATGGATAGATAGAAATGAATCGGAGTAGGAGAGGAAAGACAAGGGGGAAAAAAAGCCTAAATATTAGGAAAGGAGGACAAACATCCTTAGGAACACGTAAATTCCTGGAAAAATTACCTCTGATTCACTAAAATTATTTTTACTCAATAACTACTGCCTGGGGAGATAATCTATGGTTGACTTCAGCATGTAACCCACAACAAAGCTTGTGGGATGTCACTATATAATTTAATTTCCTCAGCAACCACCAAATCTGTTAACATCTATTAAGGTAATTGAGTTTTTACCAGGAAACAGAATTGAATATATCCTCCAGGCAGTTAGAACACTTGAATTTTCTGCCCATTTCCTCATCCACCTTAGGGATTTGATAATTTCTTAAAGGAGGAATAGTTTAAATGGTCCGAATTTGCATATACAGATTTATTGTGTAAAGATTTGTTGTTGGGATTTTTTTTGGTGGCATGGGGGGGTGCCCAATTAGCCTTAAAGAATTTACTCAATAAAGATATTTAGAGTTTGAATATTTGAAATTCAGTGATTCCTGGAAGTCTCTTGTTTGGAAAATTGTGATTAAATTTAGGACATTTCAAGTTATGATCCAAATGGAAGATCACAGCAAATACCTGCCTGTAAAAGAAATGAGATCAGTTTCTATGTAATGATATGGAAAAGATACTTAAGGTATGTTAAGTGAGAAAAAATTTAGGAGCCAGCCCAGACCAGTGTGGCTCAGTGGGTTGGGTGTCTTCCCGCGAACCAAAAGGTCGCCCCTTTGAGTCAGGGCACAGGTCTGTGTTGCGGGCCAAGTCTCTGGTTTGCGGCATGCAAGAGGCAACCAGTCGTTGTTTCTCTCCCTCTCTTCCTCCCTTCCCCTCTGTCTAAAAATAAATAAAATCTTTATTTAAAAAAAAAGATTTAGGAGCCAGACATTAACTTAATGGCATTAATTCTGAAAATGTTTGAGGACCCCCCCCTTCTAGAAGTGAAAAATAAGCATGTATTATAAGTACATTTAAAAGTATAAAATTTTCTAATTTATAATTTTTTAAATGAACACTGTGTGAATGGAAGAGTATACATTGTGTTACTCCATCAGGTAAAACTTAGAGTAGCTGTTGCTAAAAAGAAAGTTTCAGCATGTACAGTGAAGCATTTGTCTTACCATTTTACCATTTCCACCACCTGGAGCAATTACTGTTCTTGGCACTCGTTACTAATTTAATGTAAAAAACAAAAATCACTTGACTTTCCTAGTGCCTCACAATTGGTTGTGAAACAGCACTGACACTGTGAGCCTTGTCATCTAAAAGATACTTAAAAAGTGCTTTCAATTCTCCTTTCCATTCATTGCTAATAATGGATCTCAGTGAGTTTGCATACTTTCTGGCTCTCTAGCCCTTTGGCCTTCAGCACAGGGAATAGGGTTCCAGAGTTAGTAAGGACTTTGCCACAGAATTCAGTGAGGGGTAATCAAAAGAACCACTGTATCTCTAGAACGTGAAGGACAAAGGACACTACTTTATATGCAAGGAATGAATGAAGCCCCTTTGCAAGAAAAAGTGGAATAGAGCTGTAACTTCAAATTACACTTATTTATTTTTTACTAAATGTGAATTATTTTCTCTGACTACATTGTGTACTAGAAAGAGGAAATCGGAGACTAGGTTTTCAATTTTAGATTCACTACCGCGAGTTTACCTAAGCGATTCTCATAGCAATAGGACTTAAGCCTTCAGATAATGGCTAGCTTACCAGTTTTCCCACATCATTTTGCATCGTATCACCCTTGTATGGTGAATGCCTGGGAATTTTTAAGGTAATGAGTTTGTCTTTTTTAAGGAACGTGGGTGATTTTGAGAACAGGTGTAACTCCATTCCTCAAAATGTTTGTTATCCTACACTTCGCACTACATCTGGTCCTTTTTGTAGGGGGTGAGAAAAAGATTATTCTTAGTATGGAGGAAAGTCGAACATAAGCGTACTAAGGAGAAGGAACTAATGCAGAGAGTGATGAAAACCAGTAATAGGATAAAGGGAAAGGACCTATATTGAGGATGAATGGGAACGGAATCAAACATTGGTCTTGGGCAAGATGAGTTTTTCCCCCTTTCTTGAGGAAATAATGTTGGGAAAGCTGTAGATTTTTTTCCTCATGGGCTGGGCGAGTGAAGTTGAGAGTGTTGTCATTTTCTTGGCTTTGAGAAGCTGCACGAGCTAGCGGAGAGCTGCCGGGAACTGAGGAGGAAAGGAAGAGGTGGCGAGCTTGAGGGAAATGTGAGGCTCTGGAATGCACTTAACAGGGAGCGAATCAGTGATGAGCACAAGGATTGGCCAGGATTGAAGGCCCATTTCAGATTGAAAATGATAAATGCCTAATCGTTATTCAAAAACTAGCTCTCCAAGAGTCTGTACTAAGGGAAACTTGTGATTTGTATATTTGTAATATCACTAGAATAAAAATGTTTTTCTATTTTTATTCTGGCCCACATTCCCACGTAATCTGCACCACTGATGTTTTAGTGTATCTAAAAACTCAGTTTCCTGGGTGGTAGAAGATAGCAGGTCCAGTTCTGCACAGGGCCCCTTGTTTGTAATTGAGACAGTTTACTCTCTCACCTTCCTCGTTCTAAATACAATTATTCCATGATTCTTAAGAGGTACTGGTGGTACAGGGCCCAGAATACTAGAGTTATGTTTAATACTTGGGTAATTATGTGCATATCTATCATTTAGTTAAAAATCGATCTTAGCCCTGGACAGCATGGCTCAGTTGGTTGGAGCATCATCCCATAAACCAAAAGGGTTGAAGGTTCAATTCCCGCTCAGGGCACATACCTGGGTTGCAGGTTCTGTCCGTAGTCGGGGCACATGCAAGAGGCAGTGGATCGATGTTTCTCTCCCCCTCTCCCTTCCCCTCTCTAAACTCAATAAACATGGTGAAATCAACCTTAAATATTGTTTATAGCATAACATTTTCAGGCCTATCAGTCTAAACTGGGAAGTTATTTAAAATATGTTATAGCACCCTGGCTGGTTTGGCCCAGTGGGTTGAGCAAACAGCCTGAAAACTGGTTCGGTTCCCGGTCAGGGCACATGCCTGGGTTGCAGGCTGGGTACCCAGTTGATGTTTCTCTCTCACATCAATATTTCTCTCCCTCTCTCCCTTTCTTCCCATCTCTCTAAAAATAAATAAATAAAATCTTAAAAAAATAAAATCTAGCAACTTAAAAGTAGTAAAAGAATACATTTATTTTTTAGGGTTTTTCTCAGAGGATGTTTTCCCAATACAGTGTTTTCTCTCTATGAAGACTGTTCTTCATAATTGATGAATGCTAATTTCTTGTTCAAGTACAATCTGGATCATTGGCTGTAAAAAATAGTGTGGTTTGTCATCAACCATTTCCTAAGAGGAGTGGAAGGTCTACCACCCTTGAGAAATGTTCCTATAGAATTATTTATTCTCTTTCATAGTTAAGTCTCCTCTGGGGAGGAATGGCTGTGTACTCAGCCCTATTTGGGAAACTTCTTTTAACGGGCATATGCTCTCTATGGTGTAAAATTAAGAGAGAAAAGGATTAAAAGCTATAATATTAATGCTCAAAGATTTGGTATTATATAGGTGAAAGATTATTTGACAGACTTAAACTTTTCTTATTCTCTCTCCAGAAAATAGAATGAATGTGTATCACCACAAGAGTTGCATGAGGTGTAAGAAAGCATACTAGAATACGTGCTGGAATACTGACATGCATCAAAATGTAGTAGGATATATAATTTAGTTTGTAATTAAAAGTTTGTTAAGTTTATTATTTATGGTTTAGCATTACCTGAAAAGTCTAATTACATTAAATCCCAAGGGATAGTCCCAATTACTTCATTTAACTGATAATATTGAATTTTGCTCTTGTAATGACCCATGATTTATTTTGTGTTACACAGAAAATGCTTAAAGTGGTTCATTGACAAAAAGTATTATTAAATACTGTGACTCACTGATGCCATTGATACAGATATAGAATTCCCCGTGGAAAATGAGCTTCTAGAAGAAATGAAGCATTTGGAGGTTTAATTTATTATAATTATTTTAACTTGCTGCTTGCTTCATTCCACTATAATCTATTCTGGGTGGGAAAAAATGGAAATTACCTCTTTAAACTGTTTAGGAATTACCCGAGGAGTGTAATTTAAATGGCTTTTCTCTTCAGATACTTTTGTTTTTAATGGTTATTTTATAAGAATCTGTTTCTTATTTTACTGGGACAGTTTACATGATTTTGTAGTCTATCATTTTAAAGCACCAAGCTGAATAAATACTGAAATGAGGATATTTTTAAAGCTCTCAAATAAGCAGTTTTAGACTTTAAAAATTTTTGAGTGCACAAGCCTTTTGGTGGGGGTATTATCCCACGGGTCCTCTTCTCAGGAAATCTGCACATAATTTTGCCTCTAGTTTCAGGAGGTTCTTGGAGTCCCTAGAAATTCATCTCCGGACACTCTAAGGTCAGTTTAAAACCTCCCCTCAGGTTACCTCACTGATGTGAGAAACATCTTTTTAGATACATCTGTAGGTACAGATACAGATCTGTTTGGACAGTTCTTTAAAGGATTGTTTAATAAGAAATATATTCCTAGACTCAGAGGCAGTCTTTTGGTGTGCATGTGTGTGTGTTTAAGCTAAGGGAACCGCTAAAAACATCTGTTGCTACTTAAAATACCAGATGGGTGACTACTTTTTCACTTTTTCTTGGGAAAGATTTTCCTTTAAGATCCTGTAAAACAGTTTATGGCTGTCTTAGGATGTAATGATTTTCATTGAGGGATTAAATTCTTTGACTTAGTGTAACAGAATCCTGATGAACTTGAACATGCTGGTGGGAGGGAGTATTCTGCTCGAATTTTCAGTTAACTCAGCATTGACCAGATGACTTACACTGAAAATATTGTAGGATTCTCTAGGATGTAGGTCATTTTGATTTTACATATAAATATGGTCAAGTTAATAAAAAAAGAATCTGAACTCCTTCTGGGCATTGTTTAGAAGTTAAAATATTCAGCCATAACCAAACAACAAAAACAAAAATTTGTTTCATTTAAGTCTTCTTTACTGTACACTAGGCCTTCTAGAAATCTGATTGTTAGTTTGTATACTGTGTATAAGAACATATGCATTTCTTTTGTAGCCACGTCATGAATATTTTAATGTCCCAGTGTACTAAATGACTCCTCGACGCGTATGCAGTCTCACAGAGGAAATAGAAAGCTGATATACTTATGAAAGAAAATATCCTCAGCTTGGTGACCATCTTATAATAATAGAATGTTTCAGAATCAGTACCTTTACAATTGTAATTGTTTCCTGTTCTTAGTCCTCTTTTCTGTTTTATTTTCATTCTATATGTGATCTTGATGTAGCTTACTCCTGCTTGCAGCTAGCTTAATTTCTTCTGAAAAAATGTGACCTATGAATGTTTTCGTAATATTTCATCTTAAACACATCCATGTCACTTGTGAACCGTTTGTGATTAATCTTGTAAGAGGCAAACCTAGCCATTGTTACAGTGTTTGCCAAAGAAAATACAGCTGAAATGCTAGGTTTCAATAAGCAGTGCCATAATATATAGTGTGGTTTGGTCTTCAAATGTTGGGGGGGGGGGGACTATATTTAGTGCGACTATATTATAGTCTGTATGAGCTAATGTGTTTTAATGTATCACATTACAAGTGTGTTCGGAAATACTAGTAAAATCTACAATTACATCATTTAAGGTAAAAGATGCACAGTTTTTAAGAAATTTGTAATGCCACATTTATTGAATCACATGTGTGCTGTATAATACCAAACAATCCCTTTAAGAACTATCAGAAAGCTATGTCAGAAAAATCTCACCTGCAATATCTGATAGTAAGTAACCCTTTCAAAATATTCCTACTGAGTTTCTATAGTCAGATTCGAATGTTTGAATAGGTTTAAATACTTATATCATACCGGTTATGGTTTTATCTTATTGTCTTCATTTAAAATACTTAATGATTTGTTAACTATGGTTTTATATTTCTGAATATTAAAACCTTTCATATTGATCATTATTGTGTATACTTTTAGTAAAACATGCAACATACTTGATTATAAAAGGAAAGTACCAAATAACTCATTATTTATACCTAGAGAGTGTAAAGCCTGAGTTCAGTAAGCTGTCATTAAACAGTAAATTCAAGACGCTTACACTGGCTTGCCACCGAAAGAAGACCTATGAAAATGTGTGTGAGGCAGGCATGCAAAGCAGTGCTCACCATTCACCATAGCACCTGGATGGGCTAGCAAATGAATTTAGCATTATACATTGAAAGCGTTGCAAAACATTGGTCTTTCATTTCCATTTTCCCCCTCCATCCCGCTCCCTGCCCTGTAATGTATTATTTACCTGGTTTTAATGCTGCATAAATATGCATTGTCTCATGCCTGTTTGTTCTGGATGCTGTGTGTTGAGCTGTTGTAACAAGATGTTGCTTGTTTTGTTTTCTGTATACAGCTGCTTGCTTTGAATTAGTAGATTCTGAAATAGCATTCCTTGCATGTCTGAAATAAAAATATTGCATGTACTTTGTCTCATGTGAATGACTTTTTCTTCTCCATCGCTTTTGATAATGTATTTCACATTTTAGTTTTTCCAGATAATGTTTTTAGTTGTGGTAAACAAAAACAAAAACACGTAACAGAATTTACCAGCTTAACCCTTTTTAAGTGCACAGTTCAGTAGTGTTGAGCATATTCGCATTGTTGTGACAAATCTCCAGAAATTTTCATCTTGCAAAACCGAAACTCTGTACCCATTAAACAACTCTCCATTTCCCTCTTCCCCTAGCCCTTGGGTAACCACCATTCTACTTTCTATGTATTTATGAATTTGACTCTTGGGTAATGGTTTTCCTAGGCAATTTTGAGCTACAGTTTCAGTGTGAACATGTGAAAATTACACTTTATGTTATAAACACAATTTGAAAAAAACTACTGTACTATCTGTACAAATCTCAAAGGAATAAAATGTGTAAATAACTCTGGGTCTTTTTAAAAAGACAAGTGTTTTAAATAATGCATATTTGAAACGCAACATGGTTCTCCTGAAGAAATGCAATGTAAGATTGATTGGCATAGGCAGCGAGCACATAGAAGAAATCAGCTCCAGAGAGTAGGATTGTGGACATTTTTACATGGGTAAGCTTAAGACTGTTCAATGTATAGAACTTGATGTAGGCAACCTTTTAATTAATACACTGAAATTGTATGGTATTTTTAAAAGTATTTAACATTAAATGAAGAGGGTTTTAAAATTGTTTTATTTTACTACGTATGTGATTCAGTGTATTTAATGTTTAAGGCTAGACATTAAAAATGAAAGAGACTGGCTGGCTTACATCACTCCTGGGAGTATTATATCATTTCCATTGGACTTTCTTTCAAAATTATACCATGACAACTGAGACATGCAAATAGAATAGTATGAGGAATCCTCATGTATATACGTCATTCAGCTTCAATAACCATCAGCTCAGTACTCTGATTTGATTACTAATTTCATCAGCCACCACCATCCCATTTTGCCTCAGTATTTTAGAGCAAGCCCTAGACATCATATCATTTCATCTTTAAAACTAAAGTATGTATCCCTAAAACATTAAGTACCACATCCCATGAAATTAATGGTAATTGTGGTTCAGTTTTTCATAAAACAACCTGCCTCCTTAGTGTAGCAGTCACTGCATCACTCATAATCTGAAAAATATATTTTTAGAATTGGTTCGTCAAAACCAGATTCCAAACAAGGCTCACATTATATGTAGCTGATGTCTCTTAAGCCTCTCTTCGTTTTTCACAGCTCCTCTGCTTTCTCCCCCTCGCCTTTTTGTTGTTAACTGAGTCACCTGTGCTGTAAAATTCCCTCCATTCTGTATTTGGCTCATTGCAGTCTTGTGGCGATGTTGAACTTGTTTTCTTACCGTCCATATTTATTTAGATCCGTACTCTGGCTAGGTTGAGGTTCAAGTTTGGGGGGCAAGAATACTTCATAAAAAATAGCCTATGTCACCAAGGCTGATTTTTACCCATTTTCATTAGTATACAAACATACTAAAAGGTCATTATATGAACTTTATATATAGAGTTGCTTTACAGGACTTCATTTACTACTAACTGCTCAGTAACTCCATTTAGATTGCAACTGTGTAATGCTAACAGCCAACAGATTTGGAGCAATTTTGTGAGTTGGGTACTAAGCCTTATCCCTTAATCTCTGTACATGAAGGTAAGTACAATGATCCTTGTTTTCCCAATGAGGAAACAGACCATAGCGTTTAAGTGTGACTTAGATTATTCTATGTAGTGCTTAACATACAATTCAATATTATGGACTTAAGGTTTAATGTATTTTTTCCCCTTGTTTTGTGCTTTACCACAATCAGGATGCAAAAGTAAGTTAATTTATTATTGGATACTAAAAATTACATTGTTTTCCTTCATTAAAATATACTATGCCTTTTAATTACAAAATTGTTGCTAGTAATACCTGAAATTTGAACAACTTGGTCCCTTTTTATTTTGTGAAGTGCAAAATCAGCCACTTCGGGAAATTTTTAAATAATTTTTTTCTAGATACATGCCTGCTTTGTCTTCCTTTGATGTTTCAAGTTAGTATTGGTTGTTACATAGGACAAAAATATCTTTTATCCCAGAGCATTCTTTATGTACGTTACCTCCACTGAAGCCATTGGTTGCCCTGGGAAGGTCTGGGGAGGTAAGTTTCTGAAGCCTTGCTGCTGGGACAAAAATGGAGTAAAAACTCAGAGGAAGACATTTCTCTAAATACATGTGACGGCCCCCTCCCCAAAGCACAGAAATCAAAATTATGTGAAGAATCAGGAGAATTCAGAGTTTCCCATTTTTGTTTACGGGAGGTTTTGAATTTTAACACCAAGAGAACCTTTCCTGGAGGCAGGCAACGATTCCGTAAATCGCCTGTGGGTTTGGCTGCTTTCTGTGTTACAGCAAGTGTCCAGCACACAGGTCAGTAGGCAACAGATATTTAATGCATGCTGAAAACATCCTGTGGCTCCCACACAAAACCAGAAATAACCACTGGCTTGCAGTAGTGGAGTCCGCCCATACCACTGAACTGCTCGCTGCCGCCCTGAAACTTGCACGTCCTTCTGTGTCAGTTTCACCTTCTCCAGCCGCGCAGGTCTGCTCACCAGTCTCACATTTTCCCTCCACAGGAAGCCGAAACCCCACGTAGTGTTCTTGAAGAGATTGGACTGACATAACTCTCCTCCCTTGTTGATGACTTCTTGTGGCATTTCACACACTGTAGATGGTCACTGCCTTCATGTCCATGTTAGCTAATGGTGTAAGATGACGTCTTATCAGTATTAACTGTTACGCTAAGCTGCTTCATTCAGGCCTACACAATTTTTTTTTTTGAAAGGGAACTTTGGTTAACCATAACTTAGGAGACATAAACATGAATTTGAGTGATACAGAAAAAGAAAGGTACCTGGATACCATAAGTGTTATAGGTCTGTTTCTCTTAATCTGATTATATCTATGAAAATGACAATCAGGCAATATACATTTATTAAATACTGTCTTTGGCAAAGGAAACTTATGAAACCAAAGATCAGTACACTTCAGTTTATATGAGAATAAAGGGAATTGGCATCACATATCAAATGAATAAAAATCGAACTCTTACGTTGAAACTTTAAAAGCCAAATTATACCAAAGACCCTTACTGGAAACTACACACCTGGAAACAAAGGGAAAACACATGACTAAATTGGAATTTTGTTTACACTAAAAATTATTTCTTTGGCATTCCAAAGGTGGGATGAACACAGATTGACTATTTCATAATAGCATGTTATTTTTAAGGCTAAGTAATTGACTCCTGAGATAAATTTTGGGTGGTAATCATTTAGCCCTTTCACTGGATTGTTTTTGATGTCCCCAAATGGAAATGTTGATTTACCAGGAAATCTTCATGACAGTCTTACAGAAAATGAGTTCCTCGCTTCACAAAGCATATTGCCTAAGTCGTTTAAAGCACTAACATTCCTTCTGGGGTGCTTGTTGCAGCCAAATTTACTTCGCTCACCCTTATTGCTTCCCTCCACTTAGAAGTGCCGCAAACTTTAGGGGCAGCTTCCTGCCCTTCCATAGCATTCTCTAGTTATGGGAAATCTTATAGAAATAAAAACATATTTCATATAAAAGTGAGAGCTGAGTGAGGTCAAATGGCATTAGTGGGCCCTATATTTTTAAAAGCTGCATCAATGTCACTTTTATACATATTCCATAGGTAAACATCCTCACAGTTTACACTTTCATTTGTACCTGCTGGGCTGGATTAAGCTTTGTTGTGATTGTGACCAATATTCAGGCCACGTGTGCACTGTCTTATCCCATTGCCAATTAGTTGTAATAAATGTTCAATGTACACCACTGTAGTGTGTTTTTATCTCTTTCTAAAAGCTTGTCAAACTATGGAGAGCTGCTAACAGAAGAATTTTAACTTTTTTTTCTCAGTAAAATGTTGAAAATTCACTTCCATTTGAATGTGGTGGTTGTTAAAAGCACACACATACTTCAAGTCTATTAAAAAATAATGTGGATTCCATGCTACTGAGAGCTTATCTACACATTTATTTTCAATCAATAAATGCTGCTTTTAAAACCTGATGCACTTGACTTTTCTAGTCTTTCTGAACCAGCAACTCGACTGCAGGTACTCAAAGGTATTCCAAATCGAGTGGATCCCCCCATGAACTGGAGGCGGCAGCACACTCACCGAACGGGCTGACTTTGCCATCTAGTGTCTCATCAGCAAATGCAAGCTTAGTTAAGGGACCTCCTATGGACTACAGATCAGAAATGTTACAAAACTGAAATGATGTCTAAGACGAGGAAACAACTACCATGAAATGAAGTTGCTAGTCTGCTGGAAGAAAAGGAGAGTTGCAGCTGGAAAGAGCTTCCAACACACTGAAAACAAGCCTATGGCCTGCGGGCAATGTAGTTGGAATGTTTGAAGCATAAGTAGTCATCAGGTTATAAGTTTAAAAAACATTAATAAATTTAAGTTTGAGATGGACATTTGTCAGGATAATGAACCAGTCAGTGGTTTAAAAATTGCTGCTTCTCTCCCCTCCATAGCACACGCACTGCCCATTAACACTTGGGAAAGTCACCAACATCTCATAATAACCTTGAGCACAAGCTGGTATTTATCCTCCATGACATTTCCCCCTCCGCGATCTACTAGACTATTCAACTTTGAGTAACTTGGCTGTCCTTAGGAAAGTATTGAAAAATATTGAATTTAGTGATAATTATTTAGCATTAGTGAATCCTGTAGATAATTACAGAAAATTTTCAGTCATTTTAGGGCATTGAAAGCTGGAACAAATCAATTTTTAAAATGTATCCTGGACCACACACTTCCTTTTATAGACTACTGATTAAAGGATTCATTTTCAACAGAGATCACTCAGAAGTCCCAGTCTTGAAATTACTATTCCTATTTGTTACCTTCACTATTTTGTGTGTCCTTAAATCTCTATTTCCAAATCTCCAAGTCGCCAAATTCCATATACTCTGAAATTCAAGATCTCTAAGGAGGTTAGGAGGAAAGGAGGTTAATAAGCAAATTAAAAATTAATGAGGAAGCATGACAGCGTTTTTTATGCTCTGAAATCTAAGAACAGTATTTTATCTTAAGCATTTTAAATAGAATGTTCTCTAACCACTTTACCAGAATTGCTGTAACACCAGGCATATTACGTGGCAATGACCTGTATATAAAGAACTCTCCATTACACTATAAAAAAGAACACCCTAATGGGAAACCTCTAGCCAAGGAAGGACTGGAAATGTGGGGTAGGAGGGAGGGGAAAAATTGACTACCCTTTAGTTCTTTAAAACGGAGAGACTGAATTTTACCATAAAAAAAGGTATTCAGCTATTGTATGTAGAAAAATCCAATAGATTACTAATAAAGGACAAACAACCAAATTTAATGGCCACTAAATGTAGAAAACTCTTTGAGTTAGCCAATGGATGCAAATAGTTAAAACACAAAATTTCCCAAATTAGCAAAGAGAAAAGTGATGTGGGGTGTAGGAATAGCAACATTTATTACTGACAATGGTTTTATAGCTTTTCTCAAGGGCAATTTGGAAATACTTCAGTATTTATATGTCTTGATGTAATTTGTGTTCAGGAAATACAATCAGAGGTGTATGAAAGTGAGGAAAATGCACCACAGGGTTGTTTGTTCACAGCGCAGGGTTCTTTAATAGAGTTAAAATAAGTTAAAATCCAACAAGAGGGATATAGTTGAATAAATTGATAGATCCACACTATCCAGTGAGTAAAAATAACATTAAGAATAGGGTTTGAAGAAAATATGACAATATTTGGTGTGAGAAAAAGCATATTCAACTGCAGACATTTCTGTAAAAAAATGGTTACACACCCATAGGAAAAGAAAAAAGACTAAAGTAATGCTCCAGTGTTAAGTGATTTTTTTTATTTATTTTATTTCATTTATTTATTATTTTTTTTTTTTAGTGAGTGGAAGGGAGGGAGAACAAGAGGGAGAGGAATATTGATGTGAGAGAGAAACATCAATCAGTTGTCTCTAGCACGTCCCCAACTGGAACTGGGCCCACAACCCAGGCATGTGCCCTAATTGGGAATTGAACTGGCGATCTGTCGGTTTGCAGGACACCCAACTAACTGAGCCACCCCAGCCAGGGCTTAACCACTTATCTGTTAGGTTTAGAATTACAAGCAATATTCATGTTTATACATTTCAGCATATAAATTACCAAAGAATAAGTATTTTTAAGATTTGCAGATGACATAGGGTTTTCTGCCAGACTTGCTAACCCATTTAAATTCAGAGCCCTTATGCAGCAGCCGTAATAAATAAGATATGCAATCATTTCAAAACAAAATCAGTTTATTTGGATTTGGGACTATGAATAGTTCTGTCTCTGCTACCTGACCTCCTCCGGCCACGACTCCTGGACCTAGTGGGGCTGGGGCTCCGGCTCCGGGTCCGACTCCGGCTCCGGCGGCTCCTGCTCTGGCTGCCCCGGCCCCGGCTGCGGTCCCTTTTTCTTTCTCTACTTCGTGAACTGTGCCTTTCACGACTTTTTGCCGTGTGTTTGTGAGATTTCTTCTCCCTGTGGCTACTTCTCCTTTTCCTCTCAGCTTCCCCATTCCTTTTGTAGGAACGGGGTGGACTGGGGCTTCTCCTCCTCCTGGGCCTGCCATAGTACTCGTCATGGTGGCCCATCCTCTCTCTTCTCTCTGAGTTCTTGCCAAAGGAAGAGCCAGACCGATCTGGAGACAGGTAGATGTCCCTATTAGCTTCCCAAAATTCATTGTTGGGATTTCTGAACACGTGAAGAAAGTTGCAGTGTTTTCCTCTTGGGCACTGTTGTATTTCAAATAAACCTGCAAGGGCACAGTGAGGAGACAGCATTTATGGCTGGCATTTTATCCTTCCTAGAAAGTACATTTCTCATGTTGGAATGTGACAGAACTATTTTCTTCCGTGTATTATTTAAAAGGGGCTCACACAAATCGATGTCACAGTTTTGGTTCCCAGAATTTCAAATATATTCAAGTGCTCTAACAAATGACACTGTGAAAAGTAACAAATCAGAAGTCTGAATTAGCCAGGATATCCTGTTTGTCTGCTGGAGTACAGTGTGCAGGGCCACCGAACAAGCGGTGACCCCAGTTCTTTCTGGGGGCTCACCTTCCATTCACTGACAATGTAAATCCCGAATCAACACCTTAAGAAGAAGAAGATGGTAAACACTAGCTTAATGCTTTTAAATGTACCAAGTGCGGTTAATATGAAAGATTCGTGTCAAAAATGAAGTCTATTTGAACTCAGAGATCCTCTTGGGCTTTCAAACTTTCTTTGTAAAAGCAGTAAATTCTCCAAATGTGTAAAACAGTTAAAAGTGAAATACCTCCATATCACACATTATATACAAAAACAAAGTCAGAATGGATCATAGTCCTAAATGTAAGACACGAAACTATAAAATTGTAAAACAAACACACAAGTAAAATCTTCGTGACACTGGGCTAAGCAATGGGTTATTAGATATGACAGCAAAAGCACAAGGAAAAAACAGAAAAAATAGATAAATGGGATTTCAACAAAAAAACTTCTGTGCTTCAAAGGACACCATGAAAGTGAAATAACAACCCACATAATGGGAGAAAATATTGACGAATCATCTGTGATAAGGGACTTGTCTGTAGAATAAATCATGAACTCATGATACAACTCAATAATAAAAAGATATATAACCTAATTAAAAATGGACAAAGGGTCTGACTAGACATCTCTCCAAAGAAGGCACACAAATGGCCAATAACAAGGACGTGGAAAAATGCTCAACATCATTGTAACTAGGAAAAATAACCAAGCTGTTATTTTGAAGAAAGACAAGTGAAATAGCCTCCTGCTTTGGGGGAGTCAGTCACACTGAGAAGCACCTCACTGAAATCATACTGGAACTGCCAGGAACTGACAAAAGTAACTGCCTTTATAAAGAAAACAGTTCTACTTCTTTCAGTCCCCAAGCCTTTCAACTTCAGCTATAATTGTTCTTTTGGTTTTCCAAAGCAAGGGATTCCAAGATCTATCTTTTTTTCCTCTTGAATAAGTGGTTTTTAAGTGACAGCATCCATTAAGACCAGGTTGCCAAAGATTCAGACTTTCTAAATTATAGATTTTTAAATAAGACATGTTAAGCAGGCAAGTGTAAAGCAAAATAAAGGGTCAGAGACGTGCTCCCTTAAGGCATGGATAGCTCCGTGTGTTTGCTAACAAGCAGGTAGCTCAGCAATACAATTTGGCTGAGCCCATCCAATACAAATCAAACAAGAGCGAGGCTGTCCACATTGCCGGCTATTCAAAGAACTGACTCATTTCCTGATTCGGGGCCACTGTCGATGAGTCAGTCTGACTAAATGTACCCTCACCACATCCTACAGTTAGAATCAACCTATTGCACCAAAGCATGTATTTCAAGTAAGACAGGCAAGGTGATAGGTGATGTTTTAGGTGGCAAAGATGACCAAAGAGTCATTAGGGATAAAGATGGGGAAAACAACGTAACTCAAGTGAAGGGAGCAAACGAACAGCAAAAAAGCCCTGAAACCGTGGTAAGGGAAGGTGGCTCCCCATGGACACAACTTCCCAGGCTTCCTGAAGTGTCAGATACACAGCCCAGGACTGAGAATGAGAAGACCTAATTCAGCTCCAGCTCTGCCACCAATACACTGTGACCACAATCATCTCACGCATAAACAGGCCCCAAGGTCTGTCACAGATCTAAAATGTGATGTCCTTTATATAATGATATTGGTTCACCTGCTGCGTGCGGTCAAAGCTATGCTTCACCCCTTTAAAAGACTGTGTTTTTTTTTCCCCACTAAGAATGTCCTTTTATGTAAGTGTAGAACAACTAGGGGGAAATCGTCATGTATTTTACCACAAATTGCCATTTTCCACCGGGTCACCGGGCAGAATTCGCACTGAAGCTGTCGTCCTGCATACCATCGTCCATTGAACAGAGAAAGGGCTGCTTGGCATTCCTCTTCCCTGCAAACCACAGATTAAAGGACGCACTTTATAGTAACATGCTAATACACATATTAATCCTGTTGTTAATTAACCCTTTTATTAGTTGATTGTAGGATCACCAATCTCACTTTTTGTACTACTGAAAGAGTACTCGTTAGAACCTTCAAGCTCCTGAAGCTCACAATTGATCAAGGAACTCATTTTACTAACCCTCTGAGAGGTTCTGATGCCTGGAAATTGGCTCGAGTCAAAGCTTCTTAAATCAAAAGACTGGAGCATTAAAAATGCATAAGTATTTTCCATTGTCACAGCCCATTGTGTCTCAGCTAAGATTGCTGTTCTTATTACAAGACTTAATTTAACCCATTAGCCATAGCACAGCCCAGGCAAAAAGCAAAACAAGCAGAATGATACACTAACTGCACACTAAGATTACTTGGGGCTTCAATTCCCAACTTGTACTCTTGATTTATACTTTTCTGTTGTCTATTCTAAGTTATCCCTTTCAGTTTGTATTTTAATTATTAAAATTATCTGAGGTTAAAAAAATGACATTTATAAAAGATTCAAAACTATGTACTTATACAAAGAATGAAATCCAAATCTATTATTTTCAAATCCCTTGATATTTCTATATCGGCTCTTAATATTGACATTTTTTAAAATACCATGCATAGGAAAGTTATAAATGCAGTGGAAACAATTGCAGACCTCAACGTAATCACATCACTGCACTGTGACAAAATGTGACATTTAAGTTCAGAATACTTACGACTGGTACTGAACATACACATTGCCCCTCAGATGAGGTTCCAGGTTGCAGCTGACCTAAGGAGCAACGAAGAATTCCATCGTTACACAAAAACCAAAAACACTAGGGAAAAGAAGCCCTTCAATCACCAGATGCACTTTGTTCAGGCCGATACTACCAAAAGTAGTAACCAGTTGTCAACTGAAGAGTCCAAATTCGAGGCACTATGCCACTCTCACGTCTAGTTAAGGTACACGTCAGCACACAGCAGTAGTGCAGACCCCAATGATCGTATCTCTGTTCACCCAGGTCCTTTTCTTCCCCAGGGATATGAAATGTTCCACATATGCATAAGAGTACAGAGAACAGACACCAGCCCATCCACACACCACCCAGACTTAACACTACCCCCCTTCCTTTTTGACAGAAAAGGTTTCCATATATAAAACATTACAGACCCAGTTGAAGCTCTTCCATCTTACACTCCCTCCTCCATCAGGTACATGAGCACGGTATCCCAAGGTTGGGTGTATCCGTCACATGCCAAATATAAATACACACACCACACACACAAGGATCTACAGCCACCCCCACACACAGGTATAAAATAGACACAGACATAAAACACACACATGTCTACTATGTATATATGGGTATACACATTTTTATGTGTACATTTGCCAAGAAACATGCATATATATTGACAATGTATAGCATTGCTTTGTACATTTTCAAATTTTATATATAGAGTACTTATTCCACATTCTTTTTTCAAGACGTAATCCCATAAACTTAAGGACTCATTTTAACCACTGTATACTGGATATATCAAATGATCAAATTAACTTGTCTGCTCCTCCGCTAATGACACATATCCAAGGCGCTTCCAATTTTTCATCAGCAAACAGTGCGGCGGCCAGCACTCTGCAGCACGTGTCTGTGGGTGTGCAGACTTGTCCAGTGTGCGTGCCCACAAGCAGCGTGCGGATTTGGGCGCCTGCAACTCCTCTGGGTGCTGACGAACTCCTGCCCTCTGAAGTGGTTTTACTAACTCGCACATCCTTGCCCTTTCTTGATATTATGAGAATTTAAAATTTTTTTCCTTGATAGGTGTGAATAATCTCTCATTTCAATACGCACTGTTCCTATTACTAGCTAAGTTGAACATTTGATTATGGCCTTCAACAGTGATATGACTTGGTTTTTTGAAATGGTACAAAAAGGTCCTCCAATATTCATAGCATTGTTTAGCTTTTATTTTCAAAATAAATGTTTAATTTTACAAATTTGTTCCAGTGTATTTGTATTAGAGCATCCAAAAATAGGCCGAATCCATAAGGACCAACAAGTTTATACCTTGGGAGGCCACATCAGCCGTGCCAGGGACCTTAGAGATCACTTAAGCCAGTGGTTCCCGAGACCCTGTTATTAATTTTCCATGATGAATGTGAAGCTTTGGAAATTCTCCTAAACAAACAGCTTTCCATTTATAATTGCCAATGTGGTTAGCATGAGCTTGGCTGATGGAATTCTAAACAAAATAAAAAAGAATACACCGTGGTTAGGAGGTGGCCTGTTGCAGCCAGTGATGTGATTTCCTCTAATGGGTCTGAAGCTCTGAAAGTGGCTCCAGCACTAAGCTCGCGGAGCAGTATAATGTCGGGACCTTGCAAGGGAAACCACTGATGTTGTCCAATGTCTTCACGTTAGGGATGAGGAAAAGGTACAGAGAGGTCAGGTGACCTGTTCCAGAATGCATACACAACAGAAATAAAAGGCAAAGGGGAAAGAAATTTTTTGACGAATTTTAAAAACCTTGAAGTCGGTAGAAAGAATCATAACCTTGAATTTCATGAGTGTTGCTGGTTAGCAGTTGTTCTGCTCTTGGCTGTTCCAACTGTCATTTCCAATAAGCAGGAAAATAAACAACTCTATTCCTATCTTTTGCCAAAGCATGGGACATTTTCTCTGCCCTAACAAAATAATCATTCCGGACTGCATCTGATCAAATCACAAAGTAGGAGGCTTCACTGTGGGAGGGTTCAACTGCCGAGTCCCATGAGCAGAGGTTAGTGCATCTGACATTACTCTTGCCTTAAGGAATGTGTCAGAATGATTTTGTGCAATCTGAACGCTTTTCCATCCCATATGCTGAACCAAAATGTAACTCTGGGAATACTGTGTTCAGTATTAAAATTATCCAGTGAATAAAAACAACGTAAAAAAGGGAATCGAGATGCACATTCTAGGATAGCTGCAGAAGAAAGAACATGCACCTGGGGTGGCACCTTCACCATAATGCAACCATGTGACAACAAACTTGATAAGTGGAGTGGTTCACATCGTGTACACTGCAGCTCTAGGTGAGACCCACTACGGACAGTGGGAGGGAAGGAGGGAGGGGAGCAGGGAGGGAGACAGGAAGGGAGAGAGAGAGGGAGGGAGGGAGGAAAGAGGGAGGGAAGGAGAGAGGGCATTGTCCATCATAGGTGGCCTCTAACTAACTGGATGCTGGGATGGCTGTCTGTAGGGATCTTCTGCAGAGAATTCACTGGCAGGAAGAGGTAGACCACAAAGGTACCAAAGAGATCAAAGAGCCTTTCCCATCTAGTCCTTGGCACCCGGGAGCTCTCATGCTCGTACATGTAAGTAGTACCTCTGCCTAGAGAAGGAAGTTACATTCGCTGAGTGGCTGGGTGGCCGACACCAGGCCAGGCACTGTGCCGTCGCACATGCCCCCCCAGATGGACAGCCCTTGCTGCCCCATCCCGACAGGTACCTCAGTAGGGACCGAACCCATCCCCTTCGGGCACACTGTGCATGCTCACCTTGAACTGGATCACCTTCCCCACGTTCTTGAACTCGGGGAGCACGTCCTCGTAGAAGTCCAGGAACTGCTGGTAGGTCTCCTCTTCGCTGTACTCCAGGCCGGCGTCGGGGTCATAGTCATCCCTTCTGCACTGCTCCATTCCGAACGTTGTGAACATGCTTCTAACGAGGAGCGTGGGGCTCGACGTGGGGAAATTGTGTTTACGTGAACACCTGCACAGGGAGCACAAGTTTACATTCAGTAGCCCAATAGTTACGCATCACACGTAAAGACCTTGCTTTATATTTGGAGACAGAGACCTGGCTGGTGTGGCTCAGTGGACTGAGTGCTGGCCTGCGAACCAAAGGGTCCCAGTCAGGGCACATGCCTGGGATGCGGGCCAGGTCCCCAGCAGGGGGCACGAGAGAGGCGACCACACATCAATGCTTCCCCCTCTCCTTCCCTTCCCCTCTCTCTAAAAATAAATATTAAAACAAATAAATCTGGAGATAGAGACTCAAGTAACTTGACGGTTTCCACTTAACTGTTAATAAAACCCATTCGGACATGAAATTTCAACACTTAAGGAAACTGTTCTAAGACTGACCAATATATGTCATTAAAATGGGAAGTTGGAAATTATTTGTCAAGTTCATTTGCCATTCAGATACCTTATGAAGGACTTAGGAGGAAGGTGAAAATAACACAATCGTGCTTCTATATAGTCTTCAACTAACCTGATGCCTAGAGAATAGGGTAATCTAAGTTTCCAGCTAATAGAGTATTTCAATCTCATACATGTATAGCATTTCATAGTTTTCATGGCATTTTTACCTCTCTGATCCTTGCAACCTGTTAGGACAGTTGGGGCTGGGGCCAGTACTTGCCCCTGCTTTGCGAACAAGGCAGCAGAGGCCTAGAGAAGCACACTTACCCAACTCACACGGCTGGTAGGTAAGAGAGGATCCAAAAGACCTGAGCTAACCTACAGTCTCCTAAGGCCTGTTCATGATTACGGTGTGGTAAATGTAATTAATTCTTATTTCACTGAAGGCTAACCATTATGAAGAACAATTTTCGTAGTGTAAAATGGACCAAGCCATACCTGAGTAATTTTTTAAAAAACCTTTTGTATGAGTTTATTTTCTGATTTACTCCTTCTCCTAAAAGAAAATGAGGTGGGGGAATGGAGTTCAAGATTCCAAATCATCAAAATTTTCCTGATTAGGCTTCTAGTTTAAAAATTGATAAAGAAAAACATTTTAGAAACAAAAATCCCCAGAACTTAGGAAGAAAAAAAAAACGTTGAAGAACTAGGCATGTGTTGGAGAAAATAATGGCCCTGAAATGATGAGATGGTTACCTCCTCCTCACTTTTCACGTCTGTAATATATATCCACACACCCAGTGAGATAACTGCACACAGAACGCCCTGCACTCACTGTGCCCAGCTCGGAAATGTGCCATCAGTGTTCACTAATGTGAAATTGTCTTTTTTCCAAAGGACCTCCTACATTACTCCGTTAGGGACCTTTTGATGAGATCCACCTTCCCAAGTAGAGCTGCTGACAGTGCAGAGCGGGGATTCAACCTGGCTGGCAGTGTTCGCAGTGAATCAGAATTTTACAAGTACGAAGCACAGGCGGAATTAAAGAAGAAACCAAGTGAACAAGGTTAACATTCTGCTCACGGGCTTATTACATCTGAATGAACTTGACTGTAGTTCCCAGGGCGTTAGAAGAGTGTTTGTAAGTTCTGAAACAGAGCCAAAGTCCCCGTCTAGGGCAAAACCCCCCCGCCTGGAGAGAGGCCATACGGTGTGAGTGTATTCAGGGCCAGCCCTGTAGCTCCTACTGAGAAGCCCGCTGAGACAAGAGAGAGTTGAGAAGGCGGCCTAATGCTGTGGTACCAAGCCCGTGTGATTCTGAGAATCACGCAGGGAAAACTGAGATTTCTCAGTTCCTGCCCCAGACTGTCTGTTCAGACCTCAAAGAATGGGGGGCCCATGTTTTCAAAGTAACTCCCCACCTGGTCCTGAAGGTCAGCCATGTTTGAGAACTCCTTGTTTAGGAGATGCTATTTACCTATGATCACCCAGATATTCAAATCAAGTAAGACTGCCACAAAATCACCTACTTAAACATCACCCTACCACCCCAAGGACAGCCAATAAATGGTGTGGGGCTCCAAACGCCCCCTCAGGTAAAGCTAACTGACTGCACTTCTTTTTCTATTTTTTGAGGGAACACATCAGGTTCCCCACCCTTGTCCTCAGATAGATAGTGCAGTTAGGGTCAATCACTTATTAAAGGTCTTCTGTAAGAAATTCTCATGAAAATTACATTTGAAAGTTAACAAAACATTTATCAAAGTTATTGTTCACCTTCCTACTCAGTGTCTTTATAGAGTTATTTCATGGGAGAAACATTTAGAATCCGATACCGGGAAAATCTCTGGCTTTCCAGAGATACCGCTCCTTCTTCCTTTTCGGTAAGAACTGTACAGCTCGTCATCTGCCTGCGATGTATTCAAATCCAGGGCCAAATGTACTGCACATTCACAACCCACTTTCCCCTCCTTTCCTTGATTTTGATTTGTTTTACTTTAATAAACTTACTGCAGGAGACTGTGAGTTTTCTTTAAATTGCTTCTGGAAATATGTAAGGTATACATGACTACTCCCAATAAATAAGTTTTACCTTTCATCAGAAAGTATATTCTTTGAAGAGAAAAAAATATCAACTCCCCTCAAAGCTGTGACTCCAAAAAAATATCAACTTCAGAAAGGTTCTAGAACTGAACTCTACTACTGGCAAAAACAAAACCCACCAAAGAAATGCTTAAGCCAGGGACATGTTCGTCTAATGACGTGGCAGGCCGCAACAGAACAGTTCCGTGAGCTGGAGCAGGTCCCCTGCAGCTCCCCGTAAAAGGGGCACAGTGTTTTTGTCTGAAGGGACGGTGCTAGATTTTGTAGCTGCTACTTTCATTGAATTTGATTTCACAACCCAACACAATGAAAATATCCAAATCACTCCTATTCTTTTTTGATAGTTGTGATGGTGATTTTGTACAGGCTTATCAACATATTTAGGAATGTTCACAAACTAATCTGACCACTATCAGTATTTCCTTGAAACAACTCTCAGGGGTGACTTTTGAGAGCCTGACAGGCCATTCCCTTTTCTGCAAATCAGCACTATCTAGTAATTTCCTGAAACCATTTAGGATATCTCCCTTTCCGTCTTATGCCCAACAGAAGGAGAATCCAGAATCAGATGACAACAAGTCTTAAAATTGAAGAAACATTAGACATTATATCATCAATGCGGAACCCCGCAAACGCAATCTGGTTCAACCACCCATACAAATGTGAACTCAGATTGAGTCTCTATTGTCTTTCAAAGGTAATTTCACTGTACATTTTTTCCTTGGTGGGGGAGTGTTTTACATCAGTTGTTACTATTTCTCAATGAAAATGACCATACATTTGGAAAACACCTATAAAAGTACAAAGGGAAATAAAGTTTCATTAGTTCCCAGTTCCTTAAGAGGAAGCTTTCACTATTGACCAGATCCTGTAAATGGTTTCACAGACCTTCTGGGAATATATAATCCTACTGTAAAATATAAAAGGGGTCCTGGCTGGTGTGGCTCAGTGGATTGAGTGCCAGCCTGCGAACCAAAGTCAGGACACATGCCTGGGATGCGGCCGGGTCCCCAGTAGGGGGCACTCGAGAGGCAACCACACACTGATGTAAAATATAAAAGCAGTTACACACCCTATACTGGGGACTCTCAATCCTGCGACACATTAGAAATACCTGAGGGCATTTCAACTAAGGCTGCCCAAGTCTTAGAGACTCTGATTTACTCAATTTGAGGTAGGACATAATTTTTCTAAAGCTTTCTAGATTATTCTAATGCACATCCAGGGTTGAGGACCACTGTTCTTAAAAAATATAAAATAGTATTAAGGTTTAAATTTAAAAAGAAGAAAAAGAGAAGGTTCATATTTTCAAAGAAGAAAATGAACTTACAGCATGGGTAATTGTATGAATAAGATAAACACGAGAGACAACAGTTTTTCTGAATGCGTATTCAATTGCCTATTCATATCTCTTTTTGGAATTAAAAGGACACTAAGATGTGATTAGATCTTTTCTTTTGCAGAATGCGTACTAATAATTAGGTTTTGCCTCGGATGGATTCATTCACCATTATGAATTATTTACCTAATTTGAGTTATTCATTCACAAACAGGCCAAATTATAAAAATCACCATTGCCTGGCACATAGTTGGTACAAATAAATATTTGCTAAATGAATGAAGACCTCAACACTTAGTTCTCCACATGAATGTCTTGTGGAAACACTGATGCAACAGAAGCCGGGAATGAGAGTGTCTCAGAGAGTAAGGGCAATGAAAACAAAAAGCACTGAGAGTGCTTGCCATCTGCAGGACACTGTTCTACCTGCTTCCCCTGCACTCACTCATTTCTGCCACACAACCCCCTTATAAGGGGGTACTATTTTTAATCCTCATTTTGAAGATGAGGGAACAAAGGCCCAGAGAGCTTAAGTAACTTTTCAAAAGTGACAGCCACTAAAGCCAGTTTTTGCACCTGGCATCTGTTCCTGAGTTGGAGCCGACCTAGAATAAATCAGCATAATTTTCTTCCCCTCACTTGGATCCTGTCTTTCACAGCTACCCCTTTAGGCATGCCAATTTTTTAAAGCCCCTTTTGTGCACAGTGTTTGCCATTCAAAAAATAAAGCCAGGCCGCCCCAGTCCCTTGAAATAGTCGATTTCCTTATCCAAGTCGTCTCGCGTGAACTAATGCAAGCACGGGGAGAAAACAAAAAGCAAGAGGTCTTCATAAAGCTTGGAAAGAATGCAAAGGAAGCCCTCCCTCTCCCTGAAACTGGCTGTGGGCGAGCGGTGCATGGGGAGCAGAGGACGGAAAGATGGGGATGTGGAGAAGCAGCAAGAACACAGCAGACGCCTGACTCTGAACACCTCAAATTCAAGTCCGAGTCACCCCCAAATACAGAACTCAAACGCCTCAACATTTTGATGCACTTAATTCTGCCATGATAAAGCAAATTAGTTAACACCTCAACATTTTGATGCACTTAATTCGGCCATGATAAAGCAAATTAGTTACCTGTCTCCAAACCTGCAAGCTCCCGTTTTACTGTAGAATGGACAGTTAGCTCGGTCTTTCTCCATTATTCTTAACTCTGTGGGTGGTTCTGGGTTTTGCCATGTGGCAGCATTTTCCAACTGTTGAAAATAACCATGACTTTACTGGTGGTGTAAAAATCCACGAAGAATTAAATGTTTAAAATGTATTCCAATATTTTGGTCAAAAAGGAAGACTTAAAAATAAAAATTCTTTTAACGACATACACACTTAAGTTGTAACATGCAATTGAGACTTTACAAACAATGGTGCTGAGACTCTTGGCTCCCAGTCATTGCCCATCATCAGGCGTCACTATGGCTACCAGGAGCAGTCACGAAGGTTTCCCTTCGTCCATCCACTCGGAAAACGGTTGAAAGACTTGTAGAGAAGCACCACTGAGAGAAATCAAGGTTACTCTGAAGCAGGTTAGACAGATCACCGTGGGCGAAGAGTCTGCTATTGCTCATCTGTATATTAAGGACTAGAACCAAGTACAGCCCACAGTGGTAATTCGATACCATTTGCTTTTGTTCATCGATAAGTTTTGTGGCTCTTGTCACATAAACCAAAGAGCCGCAAAAGCGATCCCAGGTATTTCAGACATGATCTAAACAGTCGACTGAGAAATTAACATCGCTGGAAGTATTGTTTTTAAAGAAATGCTCATCAGTCTCAAATTCTTAATGAAAGGTTATGGAAATACCTCATTCTCAGCCCGCTCCAGCATCTTCTGTACAGCCTCCTACAAATGGTGCAAACACAGGACTTATGAAAACCTGGAAGTCAGTTAAGTCACATCTGGTTCCTCTGGTTAAGAATCTCGTGTGTAACAATTTTTAACAACCCACACATACAAAAAGCTTCAGCTTCTAATTTGCTTTCTAAAACACGTATGTTCTGAAAAGATTTCAAAGGATATACATTTCAGTTTTTATTCTAATAGGGCATCTAATGGCTCAGAATGTAAAAATACTGAAAATATCATCTTATAATAGTACCAATCATATTTAGTATGCTTGAGCATATATATCATGTTCTAGTTTTTGAGGTGAGGTATTATGAATATTATAAAACACAATGCTAGCCGTGCTCTCAGTGGATTGGGCACTGTCCCATAAAGCAAAAAGTTGCCGGTTTGATTCCCGGTCAGGGCACGTGCCTGAGTTGAGGGCCAGGGCCCTGGTTGGGGGTGTACAAGGGGCAACCAATCAATGTTTCTCTTGCACATCAATATTTCTCTCCCTCTCTTTCTCCCTCCCTTCCTGTCTCTCAGAAAATAAATAAAATCTTTAAAAAATAAATAAAACATAATGTTAGTGGAACACCATAAAAATTTAAGATGCTAAAATATCATATGAGCAGTAGTAATGAGGATCATGGAAAACCTCAAACCTTTCAATAAGGCAAAGGAAGTCCTGCCATCAGCCAGTAGATTTGGTCTCACGGGCATTTAAACAAGTTTTGAAATTATAGTCAAAAGACTTCTCTTCCCTAGCCCCTTAAAGTATTACATAAAAGACTCATCTGTCTAGCTGCTTACCTCATAACTCTCCCTGGTCATGTAAGGGTCCTCAGTAACTTAAATGCTCAAATGAAAACTCTACTTCTTCCCTACTTCTCACCCCTCTGAATGCCCCATTTCAGTTCAATCTAAAAACCTATGAGTACATGACTTGAACTCCCCTCTCTTTCTCTCCCCTGCCTGTACATTCAGTTTACCAGCTAGACTCCGGTTAACTCTGCCTCAATACACCCCAAATCCGTGTACTTCTCTATACTAAGCACTGCTCTCATCCAAACCACCGCCATGTCCTACCTGGAAGAGCTGCCTTCTGAATGGTCACCTATTTCCTTTCTTGCCTCCTTCATCATTACTCCCCACGCCCCACGCAATCCCCCTTCTTCATATAAAAGTCAGAATTATCTGTTAAAGGTAAAGATATAAGTTACATGAAGTCGAACCCTGCTTAAAAACCCTTCGATAGCTTCCCATTACATTTAACATATAGAATCCACATTCCTCCTTCCAATCCAGGAAGCCTTACATGATCTGGCCGTGCCGGCCCTCCTGACATCCTCCCCTGCCACTCTCTTCTTTGGTCTCTAGGATTAAGGCACTATGACCTTCTTCCAGGCCAATGGTCAGGCCTCTTCCCTCTGTCTAGATCCCTTTTTCTCCGAGATCTCTGCACTCAGGGGTCAGCTCACATATCAGCTCCTCGGAGAAGTCTTCCTTGACCAGGCAATCTAAAGAAGTACTTCCGTACCCCAGTCACTCTGTCACATGACTCTCTGCTTTATTTCTTTACAGCACTTAATATGGTCTTGTAGCACTTAAATGAGATTTGTTCGCTTACTTATCATCTGGCTCTCCCCTGTAGAAAACTAACTCAATAAGAGCAGAGACTGTATTTTTTGATGATTTATCTCCACTCACTAGAGAATCATCTAGCACGCAGAGGAAAACAGATTGGATATCCCTTTATACATGCTTAGAATCTACTTCATTTTATCCGCTTCTCCTTAATGTCTCATCAGACTTCCTTTGAAACAAAAGCCTTAGCTTTTTTGAAAAGAAGCCTTAGCTTTTTTAAAAAAAAAGATTTTATTTATTTATTTTTAGATAGCAGAAGGGAGGGAGAAAGAGAGGGAGAGAAACATCAATGTGTGGTTACCTCTCATGTGTTCCCCACTGGGGACCTGGCCCACAACCCAGGCATGTGCCCTGACTGGGAATCAAACCAGTGACCCTTTGGTTTGCAGGCCAGCGCTCAATCCACTGAGCCACGTCAGTTAGGGCAGAAGCCTTAGCTTTTATCTAATGCCAGAAAGACCTCAATTGAAGAACATTCTATTGCTAAAATGGGAATTAGTTACTCTCTATTAAAAAATGACAAGCTCCAAACAACTGTCATGCCCCTACAAACTAGCGTAGTCTTGCCTTGTATGGAAGGCAGTGCTCCAATAACAGTGTCTAAAAACTTGCACTAGCATTAACTGGTAGTCTAAGACACAAAAAACAAATATCATAGAGGCTGCATCTACCCCGTCATGACCAAAAGGTAAATAAATGCATTTTCCCCATGATAAAATGATTAGCTACCAAATTTCATGCTATTCAAACTCAGCAATATAAAGAAAAGATACATCCTGACAAATGAGTCAAGGAGAGATGGGCTGTGATATCTCTGAAATAAATACACTGTTAAGGAACAGCAACAAAATATACCAAATCAATCTTTAAAAAGAATCCTGAAGATACAGGAGATATGTACATACAACCTTACAGATTTTTAAAAATGAGCAACTATGTGTTAGCTACAATTGTGTTATAGCCCAGGTTGGAAAGGAAGTCAAGATTTAATAACTCAAAACTTTCCTAATTCCTCAATATGAGAGTTCCTGATTTGTTCCAATGAACTAATTCTTGCTGACATGCCATAAGGAGTTAACTTTCATAAATTGAATAAATGTCAAAACTATATAAAATATTATTCTCTAAGTCAACCCATAGACAACAGAACCTCAGAAAAACACCATTTGCTCTAGAGTGGTACACAGTGTAAAGCAGCAGCCAGCTGTCTGTGTTTGTAAATAAAACAATAAAGTTTTATTGGAACACAGCCACAACCATTCATTTACAGATAATCTATCACACTGGCAGAGCTGAGTGTTTGTGACAGAGGCCGTACAGACCATAAAGCCCAAAATGTTGATGCTCTGGCCCTTTACAGAAACAGTTTGCCAATCCTTGGTATAAAGGGTAAGATGAGTAAAGCTGAAGAAAAGCCTTAATTTAAGGTCTACCACTGCACAGGTGAAAACAAGAGCACCAAAAGGAAACTCTAGTGCACACTTTACCAAAAACTTGACTTTCTAGATTTAAAAAACAAACAAACAGCCCAAGCCCTGCCATGCCTACAGCTTATTCTTCAGTCCCATTACTCGCCACGTCTGCTCACTAAGAGGATACGCAGTGCGTTTATCCTCCTGTGACGGGAATCACCTCTCTTTCTCTCTTCTCCTGCAGCTTCTGCGCCTCCTCTTCTTTCTCTCTTCTCTGCTGTTCCTCCCATTCTTCCTTTAACTTTCTCTTCACGGGGCGGGAGGGAGGGGAGGAAGGAAAAGCAAGATTTTTTCAGGCTAGTGTTTTAAAACATTTAACATACAGGATAAATACATGAAAAACTTTAACAGCACGGGTCAAATGGATGATACCCATTTTTTCAAGTTCAAGATACGTAACTCTGAATGAGTTTTGGTGAACTAGTCAGTCACCTGGTTGTCTGATTAATACTGTACCTCCTGTTCTTCCTGCCGTTTTCTAGCCGCCTCTTCCTTTTCCTTCTTTACTCTGAATTCTTCTTGTGCCCTCTGCTCCCGCAGCAACCACTCCTCATGTAACTTTTGCCTATCAATGTGATAATGTATTCACAGAGAAGAAACGGGCATTAATCTACAAATACACACATACACACAATAGTAAAAATGACATGTCTGGGAATGATTCAACTGTCATGAAAGACACATTCTAGAAAGTAGTTAAGTGGGAGCAAGAGGGTCAAAAGACATGAGTAATGATCTTAGAAGAGCATTACATTCCAGCAACTATGTTCCTAAAGGGTAACGGCTGAAAATCACTACTTCTACATTTCGTGTCTGTGACATCTTTTACACACAGCAATGACACGATAATTTTCCCCGTAGGTTGACCATAGTGATGTTTAGGTGCCAATAAAGTGAGTAATGAGTTTTGAAGCCACATCAGCTTTTCGCATTCAGAAATGATTACCCTTCCTATGTTTTAAAAGTGTCCATTACAAGACTGCAGCACTAGGAAAACCTGGCATCTTCTGCCATAAACCTTTGGACTACTATGTATACACTTAAGAGACTCCTGTGGTTTGCCTCAAGCACTGAAACTGCTGAAAGAAAAATAAAACCACATCATGATCTTGTCTTCCAACTAAAGAAAGCTACAGGTTTTAAGATAACAAGGAGTTATAACAATGCATCAGCAGGTGCCTAGTTTATTTTTTAAAATGACCAATTATAGAGTAATGTTATCTTAAAATGGTGTCTTGCACCTCTAGTATCACAAGTTTCTAATTTAAAGATGGGTTACATTTCAAAAGTTTACAGCCAATACATGTTTAGAACCTAGACTGCATTTTCTCACTGAACCTGGAAACAGAAATGATGTATAAGAAATTGTTCTGTATCTCTTTAACGACACTAGGGGTCAAATAAAGTTTCATGTCAAGCATGAGGACCTAACCACAATTTCAAACACTCTACAGGGAAAACATATTCCATTTCCAACTGCAGATTCTAGGAACACGTCTTTTAGCCATGGCAGAGAGTGGCATATTGCAAATATCAAAAGTCATACATGAATTTCTGACTAGCAGAGAGTCGGTGGCCCCAACCCTGACATTGTTCAAGGGTCAACTGTGTACCTATAATCTATACAAATCTATAATAAGAACCAGAGTTATCACAGCACCTCCTATCTGCTAACAGTATGTTAAGCACTATGTACTTACCATCTCATCCAACTGCCCTGAATCTATGAGGTAGGTACTATGGTTGACTTATTTCCATATTTACGGCAAGAAAATTGAAGCTTAGAGAGATTAAGCAACTTGAACGCAGCTAGTAAGTAGCAGGGCTGGCACTGGAATCCACTCCCATGTTCCCAATCACTATTACATTTTTTTCTTTTTGGCATTTTGATCATTTCACCTACTTATGTGTTTAGATAGGTAAATTAATTATAAGAAGCAACATTTCCAGTGAACATACTGAATAGCTAGAAAGTGTCTATAAAGTTTTTTCTCCTTTTAAAAATTTTTTAGATTTTATTGTGGCAAAATATACATACCACAAAATTTATCATTGTAACCATTTTTAAGTGTACAAGTGAGTAGCATTAAGCACATTCCCATCACTGTGCTTAGTTAAAAATAAAAATACTCAGAGAAAAAACAGAATATTTTGTTATCTTGGGATGGGGGAGACCTTTATAAGTCAGATACTAAGGCCAGATACCATGATGAAAATTGACAACATTAAAGTCAAATTATGGTACTTATTGCTGTAAGCCAAGTTAGGAGTGAGGACAAATGAGAAAAAATACACATCACACATATGACAGATAAAGAATTAATATCCCTAATCAAGTAATAATATTGCTACGACAAACTTAGAAAATATCTCAAGAGAATGATGCAAGACTGAAGCAATCTACAAATAGGTTAAGAAAATATACAGAGAGATATTCAACTGTGCTAATTAAGAAAGAAATGTACATTTGAAACTTGTGACTATAGGAGTTTATAAAATTGATAACACCTAGTGTGAGTGAAGGTATAGGAAAATGGGCACCTTGATTCACTAGTGGAAGGGCTGCAGACTGCAGACTGGGATGCCCTTCCTACCTGCCCATCTACACTGTATGTGTAGTTATCCTTTGATCCCGACCATTTCATTTCCAGGCATTTTCCTAAGGAAATAACAGGACAATTACCAAGGACAGATAATCATGGATGGTCAGTGCGACTTTGTATGTGATAGTAAAAAACCTGAATGTGAATCAATTAGTAACATTGTGTTACTTAATAGTAAATATCCTACATGTCCATTGGTAGACTATAAATTATGAATAAAGAATTATGCTATATCTATACAATGGATGCTATGTTGCCATTGAAATGCTTGAATTAAATCTGCATCAACACTCAAAGAAATGGCCTACATACTTAGCAAAAAAGCAATTCATAGAAAGATATGTATAATATCATCCTATTATATTAATATAGAAATATAGTACATCTACACTTTCTGACATTCTTAATGGTGACTATCTGAGTATGTTTAATTCATGAAAGCTCTTTCACTTTTTACACTTCTTAATTATTTGGATTTTTAAAAAAGATTTTATTTATTTATTTTTAGAGAAGGGAAGAAAGAGAGGGAGACAAACATCGATGTGTGGTTGCCTCTCACATGCTCCCTGCTGGGGACCTGGCCTGCAACCCAGGCATGTGCCCTTGACTGGGAATCGAACCGATGACCCTTTAGTTTGCAGGTCGGTACGCAATCCACTGAGCCATACCAGCCAGGGCTATTTTGATTTTTTTCATAAACACTTACAAATTAGTAAAATCAGTGAAAAATATTTCCATTAAAAACAAAAGACAACATCTAGTTTTAGCCTGTCAGCTAGAGATTGAAGTAGCTTATCCAGGGTATTTTATAAGACCTATGTGGAACAAGGTCTTATATAGAAGACCCATACTTATTAGTAGAGACATAATACTCAAATCAAATAACTGGCTTCACGAGAAGGGTTTCAGTCAGTGCTGACCTCTGTATCTCCAACAGTTTCTCTTCTTCTTGTTGTTGTTGTTCAATAATAGCTTCCTTCTCTTCTTCCTCCTTCTTCTGTGAGAGACCTGAGGGAGTTTAAATGATTTATTAAATGGAGTATTACAAAACCTTAGTCAATAATTCAGGAAAATATCTAGGTACACTTAGGGTATGATCCTGTTTTTAATACTTTCTAATAAGGCTCCAACTGCCCAAATTTGGAACACTGTGAGCATCAAAAATGACAATATTGGTAGCTGATGACACATATAACTAGATACAGAATCCCGCCAGTTTTGCAACTTGCTGACAAGGCAGCTCATTTCAGGTTATTTTAAGTAGAACTGGGTGCTAAAGAGGCTACCTGTAATTGAGAGGCTGAGATTCCAGAAGTTTCTACCAATTATTTGTCAATTTATTCTTATAGAAACTCTTTAGCATATCTTATATTACACCCTTCGGGGTAATGTTTACTCGCCCAATATATGCTGCAATGAACAGCAGTGTTTGGTAGGCTACAGTATTCATGAATAACAGTTTAGCAAAGAATTGTGAAGATGGAGTGGACAAAAGTAGGAGCAGTAGTCCAGAGACAAGTACTTAAATCTTAGATCTGCAATCAGCCATATAATTCTGAACAAACCTGTGACTTGCATCCTTCAACTGACTAAACTTCATGACCAAAGGACATGATACATCTGCCTCTCCACAAAGGTTCATTCCGAACACACTTTGTAAAGTCAAAGGGAAAAAAAAAAATCAATGCAATACAAACAACAGTTACGGGATTTAAAATGGAAAGAAAAAAGTATGAGCTTTTAAAAAAGGCATCAGAAGAAAACAGGTTAATGAACAAAGGTAGCTGAGAACTTGAAGAGGGTGAGGGGATCACTAAGAGAATCATTAACTCCAACCTACCCTGTTTTTCCTTTTATCCCTGATGATGTATCCTGCCTCTACTGGACCAGTTTTGAATGAATAAAGAAAAAGGAGATGCTAATAAAGGCTGCAGTTAAACACACTGCTCTTTCCATTCTAAATACTGTAAGCACTGCCACTAAAATAATTACTAAGCAACTCCATTGGTAAATAAAACCTTTATGGCTATGTTTCTCAAGGCCTGAGAATCCCGGTTACTTGAGGCCATGGTCTGTGGTCTTCAAGAATTGTCAGGAAAACTGGGTAAGGGTTTTCTGGATAATGGGGATGGCAATCACTATAGCCCAGCACTCCAGGGTGATTTCAGTGCTTCTGCCCACATTTATAACTACAATATAATTTTATAGCTTAGTTAGTACTACGAATTTCATTTTATTCAACATGCAGGCTTAATATATAAATATTAGATTGTGCCATGTGAAGGACAAGTGATCCCACGGCCAGTATAGATGAATGTTCCAAAGCATTTGAACAGAAAATTTAAAAAGTCATAAATAACCCCAGGGCAATGGTAGTAGTGGCAGCTTTTCAAACTCCAAACGGTACCATATTCATGTTGTGAGCATCTGTCTCCCCTCATTTGTAACACTGAGTTATTGCAGGTTTGACTTTTACTGGATATGTAATTTCACTTACTTTTGTAATTTGTAAATACATTGTTTCAGAGTTAAAAGTTTCATAGCTAGTTTTATGCTTATATATTTCAATAGTATCTTACTAATAACTTGAGTCTACAAAGGGTTTCATATTACTCAAGTTCGGAGAAACTTGCAAAATAGCTCAAATCCTCAACTCCGGCTGGTTTTGCAAAGAAAAGTGTCCACCGAATACTTACTATGTGCAAGGGCTCTACTAGCTGCTGTAATTCATGATGCCTGCACCTGCAATATTAGATACTTTATAAATAGTTACATATAACCAGTGGGTGATGATTCACGATGCCTTTTTTCCCCCTCTTTAGTATTGTAACATTGTTCCCGACATGTGTCTAGCATCACTTTACTTCGGAAACAGTAGCCACTGCCATTCTTTATCAGATACAGCACTTGGCATACTTCTGACACTGGGCCAAGCCAGGATGGTCGTGCGGAGGGCAACTTCATACACAGAAAACAGGACAAGGACTCGGTTACCTGAGTCTCTCAATCGGGCAAGTTCCTGACGTCGTTTCTTTCGTTTCTCCTTCTTCAGGGCGGCCCTGTATTTTTTGTGGCTGGAGAAAGGAGACAAGCACACTCCGGCGTAAGTGACTGCACCTGCAGCGCTGCGCTCGGCTGCTCGGGCAGGACATCTTGCTTTCGCGTTTTGATGACAAAACACGCATTCACCATCCCTCGCCCTGCCAAGCCCCAACGGCAGGTCTTCTCCACCCGGACACCTGTTCCCCTCCTTGACTCCCCGAGCCCATGGACGTTCAGGATAGTTCGCGCCTTGCCCCGGGAGGGGATGGAGCTGCCGCGCTGGCTCGCCTGGGTTGCCTAGCTCCCTTTTCCTTCCCGCCTTCACAGCCTCCATATCCAGGAGCAACCTGCTCAATCCCCTCTTCTGGCCTGCCCATCTCCCTCACCTCAATTTACCTGGGTTTCTCCGGAAGTATCAACGCTTCGGGCGCCGCCATCTTGCCAGCGCCACCACGCCCACAAGGGCTGCCGGAAAAGGCGGGGTTAAGAGAGAGAGATTGACAGAGAGAGTGACAGAGAGAGGCTGGAGATAGAGAGCCAGCCAGCGAGCATGCGGCCGCGCGCAGGCGCAGGTCCGCGCGTTCTCTCCAAGGGGCGAGGGAGAGTAAGTACTTCTCCCTAGGCAGACCCAAGACGCAAAGCCAGAGATTCCCGTGAGTGACTCGTCTTCTGAAATCCTGTACAGATAAATGTCTCCTTCTCAAAAATGTCTACCCCTCCCTGGAAGTATTTCTTCCCTCCTAGCGCTTCCCCAGTACCTTAACCCTACCTCTCCCTACACCCCAGTGAAACGTCTGGTAGCCTGGAGGTTAAAGTCACACTCCTCCCTCTTCCTCCTCACCCATTAATGACACCTCACTCCACCTATAGCAGCTTGCCTTGCTCCCGAGTCCTACTTCCCCCGGCTCTGCCTCCTGCCACGACTCCACCTATCAGCGCCTCAAAGCCCCAGACTCACCCCCTTCCATTCACACCTACCTACGGCTCTACGGATGAACTTAACTCCTTGGCCTGGCTTTGTTACTCTCTGCTCCAAATCAAAATTACTGAGCTACCCAATTACTAAACTGCCACTGCTTCCCCTAGTGCCTCCTTGGAATCATTCAACAGGAGCCCAAACTCTGCCTGAAGCCTGGCCTTACACCCTCTTACAGAGCCACTTGGAGTAACACATCTGCAAATTGATCTTGTTCAGCTCAGTGCATCAGTGACTAGAGACTTACTTAGGCTTTGGACTTGGATGGACTAGGAAACTCAAGCCTTGGCTCTCTGATCGAGTAAATTCCTTAATGTCTAGTCCCCAGTTTTCTCATCTGTAAAAATCAAGACAGTAATAATACCTCCAAAGGTATGCTGCATGTTGGCAAAGTGCCTGGCAATAGCTACTGTCCCTGACACATTCGTTGTTATATCATCATCGTGAAAACTTCCTGACCCCCTCAAGAGTGAGTTAGGTATTCACCCTACCTGAGCTCCCAGCATAGGTATTTCACCTTTCATAACACTTATCACATTATATTGCACTTTGTTGCTTTCAAAAGTCTGCTTCTTGCACTATATCTTAAACTCCCTGAAGGTAGAGACTTCAAAGTTATGTTCCCATACTAGAGAATGCTCTGAGTGGCACAGAATGTAGGCTGTGCAAATCACCAATTTTGCTATTTCCTGTGACCAGGACTTAGGCTGAGAATCACTGCCACTCTGAAAACATCTGTAACACTTCTTATAAATTGCACCAAACTTTCAGGTAATAACAATAAGAAAGAATGTCTTCTAGGAAGGTACTCCTAATTTAAAAAGCCAATTCCATTTCCAAACTACAGTTACCATCATTTGAATTGATAGATCATGAGATAAAAGTAATGTAAAAGTTTAATGCAAAGATGCATTCTGCTACGATAGTCCAATAAATAGAACAAGGTGATCTTATAACACACATTTCCTATTTTTCCTTGGTGTTTGAAATACATCTACTTATTCTCGTGTGTATATTTCAGTTTTTGCCCCTTCTATGGGAAAATGCCTGAATTTTTAACTTAGATTGTTAGTAGAAAATAGCTGATTATCTAAAAAAGAAAATATTTTACTCATATAAATGATGTAGTAGATGATGCTATTACTAAATAAAGTCTCAGTTATTATAAAGTGACCAAAGAATAATCCACAAATGTATTTTTGTTTACTGTAAGCATAAAAGGATAGCAAGAAAAAAATGTCTACTTTCCAAACGCCAGGCTTGGACTCTTTCAATTAGATTTCTTGCTGTAGTAGGACAATGGTTATAGGATTCACTCAATGGTCAATGCAGAAATCCTCAGGAAAGAAAATTTAATTCCTGCCCTGGCTGGTGTGGCTCAGTGGATTGAGTGCCAGCCTAAGAACTGAAAGGTAGCTGGTTCAATTCCCAGTCAGGGCACATGCCTGGGTTGAGGGCATGTGAGAGGCAACTGATTCAATCACAGTGATATTTCTCTCTCTCTCTTTCTCCCTCCTTTCCCCTTTCTCTGAAAATAAATAAATAAGTAAATAAAATTTCATTCCTTACCTATGATTAATTTCAGTATTATATTTATTCAAAGACATACAATGGAGTCTCAAGCCTCTCCAACCCTCATTGCTATGCCAGGGGCCTTATATATTTTTCCAGATTACATTATAACTTAAAAAATAGCAAGATAAAAGTACTTATGAATGCATATTAATATCAAAAATGGTGATTTGTAAAAACTGATGAAAAATTTTCTTTGGAGGAAAAAACTATCCAGTGACAGTTCTTATTATTTGATTTTTTTATATAGTGGTAAGTTCAAAGCAACACAACTGCTGGTAGTGTGAGAATGAATGGTGGCAGAACTGATATGCCCACCAGGAACCCAAACCAAATTACTACATTTCTGAAGATTAGTTGAATTTAAAAAACAGGAATAAAAGTGCACATATACTGACAACATCTTAGTCAGTTCTGGCTGCCATAACAATATACCAAAGACTGGTGGTTTATAAATAACCACAATTTATTTCTCACAGTTCTAACTGGGAAGTCTAAGATCAAGTTGCCAACAGATACGGTGTCTGCTAAGTGCCTCCTTACTGATTCATAGACAGCTATCTTCTTGCTTAGTCCTCACATGGTGCAAAGAGTGAGAAAGCTCTTTGGGGTCTCCTCTAAAAGGGCACTAACCCCGCCATAAGGTCTCTACCTTCAGGATCTAATCAACCCCCACAGGCTCTAAATCCTAATACCATTATCACCTTAAGGGAGGTGGTGCACAAACACTAAGTCCATAAATACAAGAGTGCATTACTATTTATCTGTAACATAGCTGGTATTGTTTATATGTACTAATTATATGATAAAATGAGAGCATATTCACATAAATGAACTATATCCATTTTGATCAATAAAATCTTACATGAAAAATCTTAACCAACAAAGTTGAATTAAAAAGAGTAAAACATTAAGTAGAATAGGTATCAAGTAAATAATGTTGATTCTTCTAGTGACACAGAAAAACACCTAAAGTGATTATAATACTGTATTTTTTCCTAATATCATGCCAAAGAATGTGTCTCCCAGAAAGACAGCTTCCTAAACTTTTTTTCCAGGTGGATGCCTGGTTTTACAATAGCCAACATTACTCTAAACCAGGTAGCCCCGGGAAAGGAGAAACGGGCTGGCAGCTTGCCCTACTGGTGATGTCAGCAGACCATGCCCTGGTTTCACAGGACGAGGTGAGCTAAGGAGGAGCAGGTGGCTCTTTCCTTTCCTGCTTCTCTAGTGAATTCCTTATGAGTTTTGTAGTCACTTTCTGATCTATATGTTAAAGGATGTCTCACTAATTTTGCAGATATCTTCCATACTCAAAACAAATAGTAAGAAAAAGTCATTCAATAAATATTAATATGATAAAGAAATTGTTTTTTATTAATCTAGCATTATTCAATAAAGATGAGCAGCAATTTAAATACAAAATTCTTTCTCAAGCTGTTTGACAGATCTCAAGCCCATTTTCCCCCTCCAGGTCTAGGAAGGTACAAGTAAAACACTTTTGGAGGCATAAAACACATAAAAAGTTTCCTACTAGAGTATAGCAGTAGCCAGGGAATCTATATTATCCCTTTGGAGGGCAGATGACTAAAGTATGCATGAAACCACACCTCCAAGGAAGTTTCCATAATCTCTGCAGGGAAGGTGACCAAGAATTTATCATGCAAATCAGGACATGGTTGAGAGTGAAAGAGGGTGCTGTTAATAATTACACCAGAACATGAGGTGTAAGTAAATCAGAAGTAGCAAACTGAGGAACACCCTATAAATACAGGCGGGACAAAAGTAGTTTTACAGTTGTGAGTACATGAAACACAGAGTTTATTCTTGTATTATTATTTATTTATTATTGTATTATTTTCCATATGAACAATTGTAAACCTACTTTTGCCCCACCCTAAACAGTTAACCTTTCAACAATGCAGGGGTTGGGGCATTGACATCCTGCGCAGTCAAACATCTGTGTATAACTTTTGACTTCCCCAAAACTTAACTACTAATCACCTGCTGTTGACTGGAAGCCCTTATAACATAAATACTTCATTAATGCATATTTTGTATATTATATATGTATTCTTACTATAATGTAAGCTAGAGAAAATAAAATGTTAAGAAAATCATAAAGAAGGTGGATAAAAGACTTAAATATAAGTTGTGACACCATAAAAGTCCTAGAGGAGAACACAGGCAGTAAAATCTCAGATATTCCACACAGCAATATTTTCACTGATATGTCCCCTAGAGCAAGGGACATAAAGGAAAGAATAAACAAATGGGATCTCATGAAAATAAAAAGCTTCTGCATGGGTAAAGAAAACAGTACTAAAATGAAAAGAGAACCAACTGTATAGAAAAACATTTGCCAATGATACCTCAGACAAGGATTTGATCACCAAAATATATAAAGAACTTATACAACTCCACTCCAGGAAGACAAACAACCTAATTTAAAAATGGGTAAAGGACCTGAACAGACACTTCCCCAAGGAGGACATACAGAGGATCCAGAGACACATGAAAAGGTGCTCCCCATCACTAACCATCAGAAAGATGCAAATTAAAACCCCAGTGAGATTCCACTTCACACCCATGAGAATGGCCATCATAAACAAATCTACAAACAACAAGCACTGGTAAGGCTGTGGAGAAAGGGAAACCCTTATACACTGTTGATGGGAATGCAGACTGCTGCAGCCACTGTGGAAAACAGCATGGAAATGCCTCAGAAAACTAAAAATGGAACTGCCTTTTGACCCAGCAATTCCACTGCTGGGATTATACCCTAACAACCCTGAAACACCAGTCTAAAAGATCCTATACACCCCAATGTTCATAGCAGCACAATTTACAATAGCCAAGTGCTGGAAACAGCCTAAGTGCCCATTGGTAAATGAGTGGATCAAAAAACTCTGGTACATTTTCTTGATGGAATGCTACACAGCAGAAACAAAGAAGGAGCTCTTACCCTTTGCCACGGCATGGATGGATCCGGAGAGCATTATGCTAAGTGAAATAAGCCAGGCAGTGAAAGACAAATACCATGTGATCTCACCTATAAGTGGAACCTAGTCAACAAAACAAACAAGCAAGCAAAATATAACCAGAGACATTGAAATTAAGAACAAAATGACTATGACCACAGGGGAGGTGGGAGGGAATAATGGGGGGAATAGGGGGAAGGGATTTCAGGAACATCTATAAAGGACACATGGACTAAACCAAAGGGGGTAGGATCAAAGGTGGGAAGTGGGGATGGCTGGGGTGGAGAGGAATGGTGGGGGAAAATGGAGACAACTGTACTTAAATAACAATTTAAAAATGTGAAAAAAGGAAGAGAAAACACATTTACAGTACTATAAGTATTTATTGAAAAAAATTCATGTATAAGTGGACCCATACATTTCAAACCATGTTGCTCAAGGGTCAGCTGTATACTCTTTGTATCTCTAACATATAAAGGTAAGTTAAGTGTTCTGTAAATTGCTTCTCATTGCAATTTGGAAACTCACTGCAATAGAAT